GGTATCTCTATAAGTACCTGAGTAGTTGTTTGTCATTTATGCTGTATTAACTTCTGGAAAATTATTCTTTCATAAGAAAGTTCCTCTATATCACCTTCTGCTTGCAGCTAAAAGCATTCTGAGAGTTACTATCAGGTTTAATTTTGATAAAATAGACTCTTTTGCCTTATAAGAAGTTTATGAATGGGAACTATACCTCCTTCTATAAAGTTATCTGTATTGTCAAAGTATGGACTCTTCCATACAAACCAAGCTCTTACCAGCATTTGTCAGTAGAGTTTGTATCTTACAGACCCAAAACACCTGACAATGAATTAACTCTTAAGATGTGATAAAAACTTACATTTTGAAATCACTTCATACCACACTGTTACTATCTTATCCTAAAGCTACTGAATTTTATTATAAAGCTCAGCTGAAGCTCCAGCTCAGTGCTTGTATATACAGAGCACTTTCATGATATGACCAGCTAGCTGGTATAGTAGGAAGAGTTGAAATGTTGCTTTTGATCCTTTGGTTTCTATCCAGGAACAGCTGTACAAAAGTATGAGTTATTAACTCTTCACAGGTCTGAATATACAGTAAGAAAAGAAATCTTACTGTGCAGATCACTGTCACTGCAGATAGCCTGCTAAGGAGCTAATTATACCTAAAGTTAATTTGCAAGTAAGTTAATTTTTGTAGGTCAGTTTGTAGGGCACAGAATTTTAAAATGGAATAAACGTATACATGCTCTGACTTTTTCCATAAAGAATTAAATTAATAAAATGTTGACTTTGCTAGCATAATGTATAAATACCTGTTCAACACAATAAAAAAAGAAAACCTAGGCACCATAACCTATTTATAACACAGCTGCAGTCCCTGATTCAATGGGGCAAGTACGTGTATATGAAGAAGAGTTTACAAAATTAGCGCCAAAGTTAAAAATAATCCAGTAAATGGGACCTTTATAACACAGTGGATCCCTTTCTCATTTAATTCTTTTATGGTAGTAACACCACTAACTTCACTGAAATAAGAATTCAATTCTGATAGTTTATTAAGACATGGGTCTTTAAACAAATGTAAAAGACTGCAGAGTTCTGTCCACCATTTGGTGCTATTCAGTTTAATACTGTGATAGAATATTGTATTTATTTTTTTTAAATCAGTAGATTACACTAAACTGCTGGCGCTGCAACTGCTCAGAGGGAAACAATTCAAACCAGATGAGTAAAATGGAGAAATTGTCTGATATCAAGCACATGAAGCTAGCTGAAGGCCGGTACAAGGTATTATACTTAGAGAGGAAAAAGCAAATGCATATTACAGTGGCTCTGTTTTAACAAGGGATTTATAGGCTACAGACTGTATATTGTTAATACGTTCCTGTTAGGGGGTAAAAAAAGGAAAAGAAAAAGCATCATTCCAGGAGGCATTATATACAGTATCATATATATGGCACGTGACATAACTGTTCTGCTTTTATACAGCTAACAGTTCCAAGACTCAGCTGGAGCACTCTGTTTAACATGGGGAATTAGACATCAATAAAGTTGTTTATGAACTGTATGTGAACCGGCAGAAGTCCAAAAAACAGCAACTATGGTAATTCCAGGCCTAGAAAACAAGACTTAGGAGGACAGACTAAGTTAAATCCTTTTTAATTCATTCTAGAAAAGACAAAAAAGGTAGAGGTAGAAAGATGCATTGTAATAGTCTTTAAATTGATTACTTTTCATGCATGGAGAAAAACTGATAGTCATATTTTATGTATTTAGTTTGCAGAAATAAAGACTTAGGTAGGTCTTGGGGGAAGTGGGAAGCATTCTAGTCATGAGAATAGTAAAAACTGTAATTGGTTGCATAAGGTTGCTGCAGAAATCACTAAGCATTTTAAAAACAGGTTAGCCAAACATTTGCCAGACAACCCACATGTATTTGATCCTAGAGCATCCAAACTACCTTCGAAGGTGTCTTTCAGCTGTACACAAAAGTTTTACTCAGACTTCATCTCCATAAAAAAATTAATCTGACATAATTAGAAGAGCTTTCATATACAATTTTCCGGTCTTAGCCGATGCTGAACACTGATCTAGTTCTTATATTTTAATGCCACATACACAATATAACTTCTAACTAATTATTGGGACCCTATTCCTATCCAGCTGTTCACATACATATGACATCCAAAGGGCAGATTTAACAGTAGATTGGTGACTATCCAAACTGGAGAGAAAATATTCTTGAAATATTAAGGAATGTGACCTGTTTCACTACTAATATGTAGCAAGAAGACCATGGTAGGCAGATCACACAGGTAAAGCTGGCTCCTTGTATTCAACCAAGAACACGCCACAAAACAAAGGAAATCAGCCATGGAATGTGTGATGCCTGGGCCTCAAACCTTGTACTGGCCTGTACACCCTCAGTTTGATAAAAGGAGTTCCATCAAGAACTACTGCTCAGTACCTAAAATACCCTAAATTAGAGAGGCTTCATAAAAGAAAGTCTTATTTTAACTCAAGAACTCAATTCAGTAAACATGAAATAATACCTATGCCTAGTAGCACATTATTTCCAAAGGCTCTTTTCTTCTTCAGAGTTATGGCACCCTATCCTAGCCAAGCCATTATAATAGCAAAAATTAATTTTTGTACTATTACAAACAAACCGAAAATACCAACACTAACAAAATTTTAAGACTTTGTAATTAGGTTGAAACTAGAAAATGAAAACTAACATTTCCTCTAATTTGAATGACTTCCTGAAATACTATAAACTTCAATTAAGCAACAAAAGGCTAATTTTCTGGGGTTTTGGTTTTGTTTTTGTTTGGGTTGTTTTTCTTTCTGCTCAGGTTTCTCTGTCACTTAAGAAAAAACACAGAACAGGATCACTAATTAAGATGATATTCAATATTTAATCTTATCATTTACCGTTTCAAGCTGTAGCTTCACACTTATTGTACATCTTCCAGATATTACTTTGAAGAGGGTATTTTGTTACATGGTATTGTATAAACTTTACTGAGGTATTCTACTGTATTTCATAAACATAAATAACCAAATCCCACAACACAGTGTGAGTTGAGACAGTAACATGCCCCCTTCTACAAACATAGAACAAAGGTATAGGAAAGATAAGATAAAATAGTAATTTTGAGGAGTCTTATTTGCATCCCAAAGAGCAAGGATTGGTCCTGTTAATCACAACAAACGGCTGAATTTGCAGATTATGTAACATTAGCTGAACCTGTGCTTAGGACTGTTACAAATCCAGACCCAAACACTGCGTGTTGGACAATGAAAAATTAAGACACACTGGTGTCAAGTTGTGAAAATAAAGAAACTCTATCATCTGTTTGAGCCTATAAATCAAAATAGATCCCTGCTACTTGAGCAAAACAGTAACCTGCAAGAGTGATAGATTTTCATCTTTTGCATGGGCTAGCTACTAGAATGCTGAATATACATTTATTTAGATATAATAGTTTAGATATTTGACAAATGACCACACTAAAGTCTCCTGGATTCAGCAACAGGTAACACTGTAGAGACTATTTGACTTTCCAACCTGATAGATGTTATTCCTTTCCCTTTATTTTTTCCCCAATCTTTTTCATTCTTTACTGAGATTCTGTGTTACTCTTCCCAAAATGAGCCACCTCAGAGCTAGCCAGCGGTTTCTGACATAAAATTATTGATTTCAAGCGAGGGCTACCACATTCCCTTTAAGTATTTCTGCCAGTGGGATAGACAGTCCTTCCCATCCTACTGTAGTGAATACATAGTACACACCCACACCCCCACATATATATGTATTTGTACATATGCTCACACACAAACACGTGTAAAAGTTCAAATTATGTCACTAACATACTCAGATGTAAAACCCCTGGGTTTCAGGTCTTTAAATCATGCAGAGAATACATGATATAAATTCACCTCAAGTAAATCTTCTGTCAAGCAAGACAGTTCCTGCTTTAGAAAGTAAGTGTCTCTGGTTTGCAAATTTAAACACATACACACAAGATGTCTAGCTTTTGTGCCAACACTGAAGACTGAAAAGATCTTTAGGTTTGAAACCATTTCTGGCTCATTTCTACAGTTTCTCCCTTTGCCTTTAACTCAGGCTATTTCTTTTTGTTCACAGTCGCTAGGGATGAGTGGTGAAGGTGTAAGAAGAGGCAAGAAAATTCTTCCTGTTCCATTGCCTAACTCCAACTTGATGTCATCCCAGAATACAAGGAACAACAATAAAGAGAAGCAAGGCAGCAGGGATCCCAAGTAGAGCAAACACCTGGTGCATCTTCTCAAGGAGTTTTCTGTGTTCTGTGACCCATAAAAAGAATTGAATGAAAATGGTACTAGCTCACCATAGATGAGCTTGGGGAAACAGTAGTGCCCACCTCTACCAAAGTTCTGCTTGAGCAAACATAAAAAGCAACTTTCACAAGAGCTTTCAACCATGTAAAATTTGACAGGTTTCCACACAGATGCCCAAAAGTTCACCCTGACAAACAGTAAGTAAGCTTCCTGATATGTGCCAAGACACTAGTACAGAAGGACTGTATCTTCTCAAATAAATTATTGTAAGAAAATTTTAACTTAATCAAGAAATAATTCTCAGAAATATCTGGACTAGTTTCACTAAAGCGTTGCAAAATAATCACATGCCAAGCGTGGAAATGTTCAACCACATATAGGTAAACTGTGGAACCTTAGAAGCAACTGGGAATATAGTTTTAGACTGGGAAATATTCAGCAATCTTAAATATAGCCATCTTAAGCATTGCCTCTCTCCTAACAGGACACTGGCTGTAATACTCCAGTTTTATTCTGAACTTAACATTAACAAAAAAAAAAAAAAAACCCAAAACAAAAAAAACCCCACTCACACATATCATTTGACAAATTGAATATAAATGAGGCTAGCAGAGAAGTAATTGCCTGGAAAAAACCCAATAGCAACAAAACCCCCAAACACTAGGGATAAGGTAGTAAGTACAAATATACCTTGTCCTTGAGGAACTCCGTAAAATTCAGCAGCTATCCTTGCTGCTTCCTTACGGTTTCCTTTCACAATGTAGAAATGACTAAGTATAGCAAGGCTGATCTTCACAAAAAGTTTAAAACAAAAAAGTGAAAGTATAGTAAAGTAGACATTGGATAGCTGCTGGGCAAAAGGGCGACTTTCTTCTATGACAGTCATTGCTGCAGCAAAATCTCTGTCAGTGTTTGGGTAGGGCTCTCAAATGTGTTGATAAGATCATATGGCTTCAGCCACGCACTCTTGGGAACAACTGGTCCTGAGGAAAGAAAATATCAGCTGGTCATGATGCTTGCTGCTCAAAATATGACGATTATTTATACTGTACATAGTATTGAGTTCACTACCACTCCTGCTAGCCTGGTGATATTCAAGTGGGACAGAACATAACAGACAGAGGTTCCAAGACCCTGGATTGTACTTGTTCCACTTAGAAGGCCTGTTTCATTCCAAATTCTGCACTTCCATTTAATTTATTTACCCTATTAATACATTTTTTAAAATATATTGTCCTAAGTATTATTGTTAACAGTAATTTCATGTACTGAACCAGTTTAACATGTAATCAGTTTTTGTTAAAATAAGTTCTCCTTCTTCTTAAGTACAGTTGCTCTCTGTGCTACTTCATTTTATGTTAGACTTTTTTTCTTACAAAATTAGAACCACATCAGTAAACACTTGAAATACAGATTAATAAAGAAACAGGGATTTAATATAAACCAGCATTGATAGTCTTTTATTATCTTGTTCAGGCTGATTGAAAATATCTAGCATATGTTGCTTATAGCATTATACAAAAAACAGTTTTCAGAGTAGATTATAAGAATCAAACTCTTACATATTTTAATAAATAAGACCTTGGTGTATCTAAAATTAAATTAATTAAAATGTAATTATAAATAAATAAATGCAATGGTAAACATACAACATGGAAAATTTCTAATGCTTATGATACATATTTCATTGTGCTTCACTGTATTATTTTAAACCTATGACATGACAGGCTTTACTTCTTGGCCAGTTTTAGAGAGGGGAATCTAAATACCTTCCACTTTAAAAGAATTAATTGCTCATATACCATAAAGTTATTACAGTTATGAGCAGATATGCACAAGTTGTTCCATTAGTGTGAGTAATTGCTGAGTGAATAATGGTGTCACAACATGATACAAATGGAGGAGCTGAAGGACAGAACTAGATTCCTAAGTAAGCTTTAACCCCAAAATAATGAATCATGGCAGCATAAGAAAGGGTCCTGTTCTAAACTTTCATATTTCCTTTTAAATAAAATAGTGTCTTGAATTACAGTTTAAAATATTCTACCCATAGTAATCTTAAACTGAAGCACCCTTTCTATTCTACCCTGGATTTTCTTGTCTGATGGTGAGAAAAAAACATTTTAGAATGTTGGCAACTGTCCATCAGGAACAGAAGGTATGATCCAAATGTCACTGCATCCACAGATCCCCCTGACTTCAATGAACAGCATAGCAGACATTAAGGATATGATACAAAATAAAGAACTTCTTATCATCTGGTTCTAGAACAAGTAATTTATTAGAGTAAGAAACTATTATGTTTTCTGGAAACTATATTCAAATATGATACAAAAGAAAGAACGTCTTATCATCTGGCTCCAGAAGTAATTTATTAGAGTAAGAAACTATAATGTTTTCTGGAAACTACATTCAAATAAACCTATATCAATTAAGAAAATACAGTTATAAAAGGAAATGTGCTTGAAAATAAATATCAAGATTCTTAGCAAACAGGAACTGAATTATGCTTATCTTGAGAGAAACATTCAGCCTTTTTCTTTGAAAAAAAAATAATCCACATAAAAGTCAAAACAGTAACTAGAAAAGGCAATTTAAAAGCAGTTTACACTGTAAACTATATTATTCTGTTAAAAATGTACACATTTTCTCCTAAATTTCATTTATAGACATTTTCTCATCCAGCCAGAATAGGAACTGCTCTCCTCATACCATAGTTAGAAGCAGGAGTGAGTACTTAAAATGCCAAATCAAAATCCCTTTTTATATTTGGCACATTGTTATCTGACACTGAATTGAGGTGTCATGTTTTCCATAAGGATAAATAGGCATTATGTTCTGAGCCACCACTGCCAATTTCCGTTTCAATCATTAATAGAAATGATATTTTCCTTAGTAACACATCCAGTATTGGAATTTCTTACTTCTTCCGTATTTCTGCTAGCATTATTAAGCTTAACTCAGTCAGTCCATAGAACTCCCCAGCCATCTTATGTACCTGTTTTGCAAATTTACCAGAATAAGGAAGAATCATAATTACCTCATGGAAACCATTTTTATTCTTTATACTGTTTTACCTGAGCCTTTTTTTCCCTGACTCCATATTGCCATATAGAAGTTGTGCTTTCTCATCTGAACTTCTCCCATGTTTTGTTAATTAACAAAATAGTCTTTCTTTGAGGAGGCGAAAATCTAAATAGCAATTACTATAAATAACAGCTGGAGTTAACAGCAGCGCTGAGTTAATCTTCCCCTTATAATAGTGTTTTCTGCTTCTTATAACTGCAGTAGATAAATCACCAAAAATAAATTTCTCAGTTGTTAGGTTGTCTCCTTCAGGTTGAACTTTTCTGTAAAGGGTCAACAAAAATAAAAAAAACTTTTTCAAAAATGAGGCTGTGGATGCATGTAATATTTTATAAGTGATCTTTCAAAGATCCTCGATCTGCAAAACTTCTGCTTTTAGAAACAACATAAACATTCAGCAGGAGGGTAATTTCTGTATCAAAGTTTGTCTTCTGACCTCTCAAAAATGTCATTCCTTAGCTATAAACTACACGCAAATGAAAGAAATTATGAGTTTTGAGAATTTCAGGTCACACAGGCTCATAAGAAGCTGGCAAAATTACTCTTCCAATAATATTTCTTCTTTTTCAAAGCTCTATAACTCATATGTGCCAGCCTAACTGCACAGAATAACCAATTTTATCCTAATCTAAGGCTACTAAACCTTTGCCGAAATTGCCATTACAGCTTGTTGGCAAATTGATGCTACCAGGCACCCAGTCATGAAAACAGAACAACTGTTCAGATGTTGCTGCTCAGACAGCTTTTTGGAAGGATCAATACTGTGAATACTGAAACTTGAACATAAAATAGCAGAGAGCAAGCCCATGCAGACTGGGAGAACCAGTAACAGAAAGCTAAAGCTACAGATGTTGTAATAGAAATCAGTAAGTAGAAGCATAATAAATAAAGGATCAGACAGTCAATGTGATGCCATGAAAGAGCATAAAAAACTGACAAGTGTTCCAAGTTTTCTATTGCATAGGAACATGAAGAGATTGGAGTCTGGTCTTGAACCAGTGCAGGATACTGAGAGCTTCCAAATAGAAATGCATCAACAATATGTAACAAATATACAATGTAATAAAAATATCAAAGTGCTTGAGCAGTGGCTTCATCTGGACATTCGCATTTCCTGTGCAGTTTGACTTTTGGGAATGATATTTCTCTGCCTCATTTCCTCACTTGTAAAATGGGTTTAAAAGGACCACTCAAGATAAGCATTCTGAAGATGACTTCATTGCTGCTAACGAAACACTCAGATATTCTGGTGAAAACAGTACTGAAACTAACTAGGTATCAAATCATTTTTCTTTCAATGCAAAATTTGAATAACAAAACGAAATAAAATGAAATATTGAATGTTCATTCACTTAATGGCTACAAAAGGGATAGCATGTAAAATTATTACAACATTTAAGGTTTCATCATAGCATACAGGTAAATGGCACCAAGCTACACTGCAGATAAACTGTATTAAACTTTTTGGTTTGTTTTAAGAGCATAGTAATACTGTGACAGACAAGGATCCCCCTAGCTTGACATACTAGTATATTCCCAGCAAATAAAACAAGAACAATGTCATAATTTCTCTCGTGTATTTTCCCCATTTCTGGCAATTAACTACTGTAATTTAAAAAACAATTTAAAAAACTTAAAATGCTTGAATTTATGGTCTTAAATTCCCCTTTAATGTAGCTTGGTGAGGTATCATTTCTAAAGAACATAGCAAGTATATACAAGATAACAATATTGCCATTTATAACAGCTATGAAAGTGGTTAATTTCAAACTCAGTGCCCGAAGTAGCCTGTTCTTTAATGCCCTACTGTGTAGTGGCCAAGTGCAGACAGTATTCAGCAGTGGCTCCTGTTTATGCTAGTTCAAACTGATGGTGACATCTCGTGCAATTTACCCACACCCTAAGCGAGGAACTCTCAGAAAAAAAAGCATGCTCTATCTTCTATGATTAATTACATAACCACATTAATTATTTTATTCTGGCAATTTTTCCTCAATGCTTTAGAAGACTGGTGTGCTTAATGTTCAGTAAGGCAAGATACACAAGAAAAATAACACAACTGAGATAATATTTAGTCTTTGAAGGCATTTTTTAATATTAAAGACTGTAAAACACTTAGAAATATGATTTCTTTACAGCAAGCATATACTGTGTCTTTAGTTCTGGAAAATATATTTACTTCTAATTGAATCTTTTAAAGTAATATACTTATTATAGGCTGTAGAAGAGCACTCATTACACAAATTCTGTTACAGTTAGTCTTAATAGTTTGCTTTAGTATTTTGGAGATGCATCTAAATGTCTGAAAGTGCAAATGTTTTTTTTAAAGACGAGATATAGAATACACTATAGGGAATTATTTGTATGACCTTCACCGGCATGTCTTTCCCCATATACAAGCAATTTGGCTAAAAATACACAAAGAGTTAAGATAGTCATTCTGGTTTAGAAACTTCTGGCTAATAACAAATATAACAGAAGATAATTTAATGAAATAGGATGCCAGGCAGAGGAATGGGAACTCTTAGGTGCTTTGAAGAATACATTGTTGTATACATTATAGACAACCCATGAGGAGAAACTTCTAAAACAATGACCTCAAAACAGAAAGAGTTTAAAATAAAATCAGTTTTTGTACCAAGTTTCTGATGTAAGCATACAATACTTGATGAAGGACTCAAAAATGCTGAGAAGCCTGAACTACTGAAAAGGCAACAATTCAGCATGAAAAATGACCTGCTTAGTGACTTGCTGACTTGTATTTTAGTAGGTGTATGGGATGCTAATCCTCAATACTTAAAATTTTATCTGACTCATCTAAAGTTACTGAATGCTGTTCACACTGTTTCCTCCTTGATGTTAAGTAATTTTTCTATTATCTCCTATTCAAAGCATTTGAACTGAATAAATCCAGACACAGAGCTACTATTTTAAAATGCATTTGCTCATATATGTTGCTATGCAAAATGCTACCTTAACATTGGAGGTAAGACAAAAAAGACAGACATACCATAAAAACAACCTTAAAAAAATATTAAACATTTTCAGGAATATCTTTCATAAGGTAAGGGTATTATGCATCTATGCTTAGTCATAGAAAAACAAATAAACCCTATATATAGCTACAAGAAATTCAGAAATTGGAGTGACTGGAAGACATCAAACAGCTGCTGAGTCATTTTCCAAACAGGAATTTAAACCCATTAGCATAACACAGACACTACTCTTTCTTTGTCAAATATGAAAAGGTGGCCAAAGTACAGACTTTGTGCTACTGTTTTGGGGGAGTGAAAAGTAGAAAAGTGAGAGAATACAAACTTTGGTCCAGAAAAGACCACATTTGGTTCAGATCTGAACTGCTTTTCACTGCACCCTGTTGCTATCCTTGAAAATTCTATAGACTTACTTGACCACATGACAAAGCCATTTTCTCAGCACAAATATTTGACAGTTGTGTTGCCAACTGAAATAAACACAACACTGTAAAACAAATAAAGACCTACATCTCTTCACAGCTTTTCCTCCTGAAGTATTCCTGTCTATTCAGAATATACACAATGCCATGTGAAGTTATGATACCCAAAGTTATTTTTCATCCAGATTTCTGCAGTTCTCATAATTCAAGCTAGTCTCCTGACAACCCAACTGAAGAATTTATCCAAAAGACTCTTTCAAAATGCAATGCAGTGACAGTAACAGGGAAAATCAGTGTCATAAAACATGTCACTCTCCTCCGCTTAGTAGTCATGCTCTGACTTTTGACACTCATTCTACTGAACAGCTATGTATTTAGATACCATTCCTGTTCTCTCATAAAACTATGAAACACACCAGATCGTTTATAAAGCTTTAATGCACAAAAATTTACCTTATGCAAGTTTTGTACATATGTAGTTTCTCTCTGTATGTTGGTGTTGCACATTATTTCCATCACTTCTCAAATTGCTCCAGAAAGTCTAAATTCACGCCTTTGGGTGGATATGGTAGTACTTTTTTTATTCTCCACTATTAAAATCAGTGCTCTGATACAGTTTAGGTTCTGTACAAATCAAGTTGTTCTGGTACACGAATGATGCAACCTTTCAATTACAAAAGGTAGCAATTACAAAATTCCAGTTTTCTAACTTTCTCAGATCTTTGAAAGAATACAAAGAAATATTAAAGCTGTATCACTTTGTTAGACACCCACTAGACAGCTGCTTCTCATAATAGTGATAGATTCCACTTCAGGTCTAATATCAAACAATCTCTGCTATCAGCAACATTATCATATGAGCGTGCTTGATCTGCTTAACCAGTCCATCTAATCACTGACAATAAAGTTCTATACAGAGGGAAACAGGTATAACTGATCTGCTTACAAGTAAACTCAATCTGAGTTCTCCTAATAAGCATAGTAAATTTGTCCTACTGTATTCATTGCTGTTCTCTTCGGATTCCTAACACAACCCACTTATTAAGAGTATTATAGAAGATTCAAAAATAAGTTCTGTGTGTCCTTGAGACATTTCTATAAACCAAAAATGTGTCAGCAGACACACACACAGCCTGCTGACAGACAGACTCTAGCAAATCTTGTCCTCCAGGAATTTAAAAAGTTACCACCTCCAGCTGCTGAATCCATTACTCAGCTAAAGGTCCCTGCCCCTCTTTTTCTCCTCCAGGAAATCAACAGGAAGGAATGTGTATCGGTATTCAGCCACTTCAGTTCAAGATCTGTCAATTTAAACTGTTGATGAGTTTAAACCTGCTGGACTTTACACTGAAAAAGCCACTCATGCTCCCTACCACCTATTCTGCTACAGAGATAGGAACCTCCTGTTAAAAAGTAGTAGCAGACTATGAGGGGAGAGTAATGTCAAAATGCACATACAAACTGCCTCTTAATAAGGATATTTAGCTGTAATTTTTGATGACTCAGTGTACTGATATGGCTGCATCAGTGAAACTTTGAAATCTCATTTTGCATCTCTTTCCCTTTGTAAAGTTCCTTTCTTGGGTCCAAACCAATGTTTTAATCACCAACCACTCGCCTATAGAACTTCACGGATTCCTTCTTCAGCAACTAACTCACCCTCTTCCTTAGGTTTGTGGTATTTCAGCTACTATGCTTTTGGTGTTTGAACTAGCTTAACAGAACTAACTTTGCTATTTCTCATATCTCTAGCAGGCAGTGCAACCTCCCTATTAATCTAAATATAACCTAAATATAATCTAATAACTCTCTGCCACTTTGAAACCTAGACAGACCTCTTCATCTGTTTGAAATAATACTACCTGGACTTATGAAACTATTTTAGATCCGTAGTAATTATTTATTTATTTATTTATGTGTAAGACCTTTAAATTATGTCATCAAGATTAGACAATTGTCAATAATTCCAAAGTGAAAAGTTTGCTTGAAACAGTACCTCTGAGTTCTTAATGTTTTCTGCCACCAGTTTGAATTCCCTTCAGAATTGTTAATTATATTCTATATTACAGCTTGTTAATTTTTCTTTGTTTAACTGATTTTTTTCTTCATTACAAACTTTTTTTAAAACCAGTGAAATAATCTGTTTCTTTTAACTTTATATCTCCTTTCTTATTACTTTTGTCAGGTTTTCTTCTAGACTAAGTAAAAGGGACTTCATTTGTCTCCTTTCTGTGTAAAGTGTATTTTGGTGCCTGTGAATGGTATTAATAAAAGGAAATTACAAAGTCAGTTTCATGACTTGGTAGGGATGAAAGTTAAAAGATTATTCTGCAAGCATATGTCACTACACACTGACTCTCATGGCTAGTGTTCATATCAGAAAGGTTTTTTCCATCCACTAAAATTGGTTATCAGTTAAGTGATATCATCATGACAGAGCTTGCAAAACATTCTTTTCCGCAAGCCGAGGCATGACAGTCTCTGCTTGGTGCTTTAACAAGAGACATAAAAATACTTTGTGATGAAGAACTTATAACTGACTTAGGAAATGAGGTAAAACCAAAGTGAGGTGGATCAGCAGCACACAGGCTTCTTGCCACAGAATGCAAAGCACAATGAAGTGTGAAAGCTTCAGATGAAGCACTGATGTATGAGAGGACTTTACCTAACATGGCTTCATATGCCATGGAATGGGCAATAGCAAACCTGCCAGGAACCAAAAATGAACTGCATTGGGCTCCAAAACATACTTAAGAGTTGCTTTTGGAGCCAAGAATATTTGATTCTGTCTCCAACACAGCATTCTTACAATGTTAAATGAGACAGTGTTATAAAATATCAAGTTCATTCTGAAATCAGAAACTTAAAAATTTCCTGAGATTTCTTGCTGAAGGACTAGCAATAAGAATACAGAGGCAAATGAAAATTTCTGTTTGCTTATTTTCTTATTCTCCATTCTTTCTAGATCCAAAGCAAAAAAACAGAGGTGAGAAGGTTAGAAACAAAAACCCTTCAATGCAGACTGGAAAGGCTACTCTTAGCCACAGCCTTTCCACAGCAGTTGTAAATGGTCGACCCAGAAGAGGTGCTAGCTGAAAGGGGGCTGTTGCAATAGAGACAAAAATTCCCCAAGGTGTTCATGGCCACATTTATTCTTAATCCTTAATTTATTATTAATCTTCATCTGCATGATGCCACTCTCAGAGCAGCCTGAGAGGCTGTGTGTTGTTATTGTCTCTTAAAGAGTTAACATATCAATGATTAATAAAAGACAAATTAAATAAAGGTTTTAGACACTTATGGTAAAATATACTAAGTACAGACATGGCCCTAGACCAAAAAAAGTTATCTATGCAGTCCTCAGCTAAGTAGCTAGGTGCCAAAGATGCCACAAGCACCTAAACTTTCACTGTTTTAGTATTTCACTTAGAAATTTAAGCTCTGAGAAGGCTAAAGTTGCTACTATGTGGGCTACAGTTAACACCTCCCCTCCACTTGGAAGTCACAAACCATACACCCCAAACTGTCAGCCTCCTTGAAGCTCCTACCTATGGGTACCATGTTAGAACCAATCTGATTTCAGCAGAAAAACAAAGAACTCATAGATCTCTGCTGATGGTCAATGTCAACACTTGCCATTTTGTTTAAAGATGATTAAAGGAATCACTTACTAACCTGAACATCAGAGTAGAAACATATCAACCAAAGAAAGCAAGCTACTTTCTCTCAGAAGACTACTCTAATCACCAGCTGTCAACTGGGATCAATCCTGCTGAAGTGATGACACTATAAAAAAAGAACACAATTAACAGATCAAAGAGTGCGTTAGAGCACAATTCTGAAGTTGGATAATTTTGGGGAAGGACAGAAGAACGGAGAATTCTACGTTTCAGACCTGCTCCAAATCCCATCTCTGCATTTTGTTCAGTTGAACAATTGAAATTTCTTGAAGTAAGAACCAGCCCGAGCACTGCCATACCTTAGGTGCTCCATTGGTGTGGGCCCAAGTAGTCTGCTCAGGCACACTGAATACCTTACACCACTGCGTCTTACAAATGGTCTCCCAAACATTTCTGCCTCCCCAAGATTCTATAAATCTGTTTTCATAATTATAGTATTTGATCAATTCAGACTAACACAATATATTTACCTGACAGTGACTTGTGACATTAATATTATGCCATTATTCTTTACTAAAAGAATAGATTTTATATTTTTCACAGAACAACTTGGAATTTACCAGGAAACATCTATTGCGTATAATCCTCTTCCATTCTTCATTCACAACTGCCATCTCAATTTCAAAATTTTTCTCCTCTTTTAATTTTTCAAGATTTTCAGTCATCAAAAATCTACAGAAGATTTATTTGTTCTGAAACAGTAATGGATTAGTCCTTGAATAAACTACACCATCTGTCTTTCCCTGCACACTGTGCTTTTAAGTGATATTTATTTAAGCGTTCTACTAAAAGAAATCCAAAACTACATGAGCAACGGGCATATTTATTAATTTGTCTTAAAATACACACTAACATGAATTTGGCTAAACTTTTTGATTTCAGTCTTCTTCGGGTACTTGACTGCTGCTTTGGAAATTTCACTATTTTACTCCTATAGGTTCTGCCTTAGCTATTTAAGTTTTCACCATCAGCAGAGTTGTTTAATATCTAATGAAAAACTGAGTACCAACTGTAAGAACTAAAAGCAAGAGCAAAGGCAAATGAGCCTTTTGTTTGCATATGTAAGAAAATAATAGCATTCACATTTGGAACTATCTTGTTGATTACAGCAAAGATTTAACAACTTCTCAAAAGTTTAGGTTCCCCAGTTTGCAGTTAAAGCTTCCTTTTTGTTTCTAAGTCTTCAGATATTTTTCTGAAAAGTACCCACTTTTCAGTAACAGTTATCCAAGGTTTCAGTAACACTATGTTCCATAAACCATAAATCAAAACCCTTTACCTCACAACAATTAATGTTTTGAATAGAAAATCAAAACATAAAATAACAAGTCAACAAAAACCTTTATAAAAGAAACTCTCTGTGTTTCTGAAACTCTTCTGAAATGTCAGGAATGTCAAGAATTACCAAATGCAAACTGGCAGAGTTTATCATCAGAACATTGCAATGAACTTACCCTCTTTGGGCCGGTGATGGATCTCATTATGGCAAATGCACAGACATGGAAACCAACAGCATAGTGGAACAGAGCTTCCCAGCTGCAAGGAATATCTCCACATCCTTCACATCCTGCATTTAATAATAGTGCTAAACATAGATGTGCTGCAGATACTCAAGCTGGGTGGAAACACATAGCATTAGTATGATCTTTTGCCTCTTCCATTCCCAACATTTATTTGCAAAGATTTTTCTTCTCTGAATCACAGACCTGACTCTCCGTTACAGGGGAGAAGAAACAGCACCATCATTACAGAACTTATGAATTTCAAAACGTCCTGACAGTCCACACCTTCTTCTCCCCGTCCCTTCAGTCACCGCGAGGCCTTCCACCTTTTTAGACCACTGTATCTGAGCTCCTGTGTTTACAGCATTGGGATCTTAAGTGCTGGGAAGAAGTTAAATATAACTGAACCACTGCTGACACCTGTTGTCTGCACTGAAAAATCTGTGTTATTCAGGCCTGGTGTACTTAATATAGTGGAACATGGAAAAAACTCAAAACACCAGTGTATAGGCTCTCTTTCCCCGCCTAGTTCTCAGACTCATAATGTTGCAAGTCCTGGGAGCAGGAACTGGTGCCAAGTAGGGACCTAGGAAGAGGAGTTGAAAACCACCTCACTACATAAGCTAAGCTTTTTTAGCATCAATTTGTAGCAAAATTTCAATGAACTTGGAAGAGTAAGGTGAAAGACAGCGTCATCCTGAGCATGGTGCAGTACCACTGAGCGGTCTGGTAAAGAAAAAGGATTCCAGTGACATGCTATGCTACTAAATAAGGTTTCTAGACAAGATATTTACATACTGTGTATGTATGTAACAAAGCAGAAATGAATAGGAACATCCCATAGGAAACAAGGTTATGAATAGCAAGACACAATGCCAATGAAAGGAAGATATAGACATCAAGTGAAAAAACAAGCCTTCACCTCAAAAGTTATTTACGTTTTATTATATAAATGTAAAAATCCAACAGAGCTACATATACTAACTTCAGTCTTAAGAACAAATGCCTTAGAAATATAGCAGGTGGCAAACAATTAATTAATAAAAAATGCTCCAACACATAACATCCCTTTTTTCCCCCCAAAGTTATGAAGGAACTAAGGCAAGAATATATATCGCTAGTATTAATGGCAAGAGTAGCGAATAGCAACCCCACAAAACCCTCCACTAGGGCCCACTTACAGATGTGCCTCTACCATGTGCTGCTCTCAGGGGCCACAGCTGTGAGCAGCACTGGGGACCTTCCCATAGCCACGCAGGAGATAGACACCTGCTGTTGCACCTGCTCACAGAAGGAAAATAAACAACCCACAGCTGAACAGGACAGAACTAAGCAGGCACGTCTTGCCTTCAGATATTTTTTCTTCTATAAACCAGACCGATGCAGAAATACTGTACAGGCTCTTTTATGAAAGTCAGTCACATTTGATATGCCACAACCAAAGGGCACAACCCTCTTCTTTCTCCAAACTCACAAATGTGAGAGAGGCCTGAAGTGTTAAGGCCTGAGCAACCAGCCCAACCCAGAGTTGACCTATAGATGAATCCTGTATAGTTTACAACTGAAAACCATTGTGCTAATAGGTATTGTACTAAGTTATAACAACCCGCTTATGCTGATGTAAAAAGTGCTAAAGCATTGAGATACCGAAGCCTGAACAGGCCCCAAACCAAAGCTGCTAACTTAGTCTGTAATCATTAGCAAAGTAACGCGCTAGTGAAAGATGTGGCCTAGAATATAATCAGGATGAAATGCTGAGAGAATGTATCCAACTTCCCTTGTTCAGCCTTGTTCAGGGCTGAGAACCCACGTATTTGACCTTGTTAGAAACTCCCTTGGTCTACACCCCCTGAGCCCTGGCCAGGCTTTGGGTGGAATCCAACAGGAGAATGAAACCAGAATTTTTCCCCTCAAAACAAAGGTGCCAGCTATTCTGGCTTGCTGATTTTTGGGTATATAAGGCTGGACCCGCTCACAGGGACTTTGGCAGCCTCACCTACAGGTGGAGGCACCGCGTAGGATTTCCCCCTTGCAAACCCTCGCTGTAACCGGGGCTGCCCAGCCACTGCGGGGCTGGGTCATGGGAATGTATGCAAGTGGTGATGGATCTTTCTTAATCACTATTCTCTCCCTCATGTATTAATGATTTGATGCACTACCCTGTATTTTCCTGTTTGTTGCTTTAGGTGCTCTATCCTGCCTTTTCTTACTGCATGTCTTCTGTATTACTGTTACATGATTTGGTTATCACCAGTAAACTACACCTGCTCTTTTTACTCTGGTGTCCGAATTTAATTAGTATCCTTAATCAGCAAAACAGGGCCTGAGAGGGCGCGGGTACCAAAAGGTATCGTGGCGCAAAACTAAGGGCTACCCAGCAGGAGCACAGGCGGGGGGCGGCAGAGGACCGCCCAGGAAACAAGCGGGCCCACGGCTCCAGGCCGCGCCGCCATGTTGCGACAGGCGGAAACGGGAGGGCACCGCCCCC